TTGAGGAGGTAAGATCTCACATATCTGGTAGCCAAAAAACCAAAACAGAAAACAGGAGTAGTATTGTCACAAATTCATTGAAGACTTTAAAAATGGCCCACATAAAAAAAAAAAATAAAAATCTTAAAAAGAGAAGGAAAACAAACAAACAAAAATAAGTGTCAGCATTCTGATATATATTAGCACATCTGGTGTTTCTTGGGTCCACCTCTGTGTCCTAGAGTAAGCGTGATATAACAGGACAGGTGTGATGCACGTCATCAAGGTGAGTGTGGAGACCTTCCCTCCTTGAAAGGTGCTTTATGTCCTGGGTTTTCCCTTTTAATCAGTTTGTAAGCATTTGTCATGCTTCTGTATCCTGTGCAGTGTGGAATGGTACACTGATTTTTGTCCATCTGTCATTATTGTTGTTGAAATAAGCGTCCTCTAAGAGGATGAAAATTTTCGAATAGCTAAAGTTGAGATCAGGATGGGACATAGGTGACTTCTGGAGAATAATCTTGTTACAGTGCTTACCATTCTAATCACCAAGTTACCCTAATCTTTTTATGAAACGAGAGCTATTTTAAACTCTTCATTTTCTTGTCATCTTAAGCACCACCCAGAGCATAATTCTTATAAGCCAGTTACAGTTCTGTGAAAATGGAATGATATCCTTAGGGGCTTTAGAGGTGAAACTGTAATATTTACCCTTACACGAAGGGTGTCAGCCTGTTTGAGATATGGTGGCTACGTGGTGGAGGCATCTTGGCTTTCTGTCACTTGCTTTTATACCTGCGTTCATCCCCAGCAACCTCCTCCACTCCCACCCTTTACTTTGCTGCTTCTAATTAATTATGGTCTACAGATCCACTCATTCATTTAGCCAACACACCCTGGTCAGGTATACTATGTATTGAATACTGTCCTCGAGGGCTTGGAGAGCATCAGCATATAACATAGATTCTATCGTTATCCTCATGGAGCTTGTGGTCCAGAGGGGAAGACATACTAAACAGGTGAATGTATAACTACAGAATGATGGTTGTCATATAGGAAAAAAAGGAATAGGGGATAGATAAACAACAAAGTCTTACTATATAGCATAGGGAACTACATTCAATATCCTGCAATAAACCATACTGGAAAAGAATATGGAAAAGAATGTGTATATATGTATAACTGAGTCACTTTGCTGGGCAGCAGAAATTAACACAATGTTGTATTGATAAATCAACTTACTTCCATAAAATTTCAAAGCAAAACATTTATTAACCTAAGGAAAGGGCGTAAGGGGCGAATGGGAGACCTGTTTTAAGCAGGGGAGGGGAGAGCAGAGTTGGGATTTTGGAGGAAGTCCTAACTCTGGTCAAGAATTTGCATCCACCCAAAGTCACGTGGGGGGCCACTGAGAGTTTTAAACAAGGTTCGGAAGGATTAGATTTGGCATGTGAGTTGGAATGAGTGCTCAAGAAAGGAAGCCACATGTTCCATCCTCTGCTAGACTCTCCAAGGAGGTATGAGTGTTGCAGTGAGGGAGCTCCTGGTCCCTGCATTTTTGACGTTTCTTTTGATTGTTCAGCATAGGGATTGGCAGGCTTTTTTTGGTTTGTTTGTTTCCTTTAAAGAGGCAGATAAGTTTGCAGCCGTATGGTCTCTTGCAGTTATCCATCTCTGCCGGTATAGCATGAAAACAGCCATGGACAATACCTAAATGAATGCCTGTTGTTGTTGTTTAATTACTAAGTTGTGTCCAACTCTTGCGACCCCATGGACTGTAGCCCGCCAGGCTCCTCTGTCCATGAGATTTCCCAGGCAAGAATACTGGAATGGGTTGCCATTTACTTCTCCAGGGGATTTTCCTGACCCAGGGATAGAACCCCATGCAGCGATCTCCTGCATGGAAGGTGGATTCTTTACCACTGTACCACCAGAGAAGCCCAAATAAATGCCTAGGTTCCCATAAAACTTATTTATAGGAACAGATGGCATGCGAGATGTAGTTTGCTGACCCTTGGCTCAGAGGATGCTTTGTTTATCATTTCCATGGTCTTCATCATTGAGGTGGTTGAGCAAGGGAGGAAATGCAATCTACGTGGTTGTCCCTGGCCTCGAGCTGCTTATAATCATTATGGGAAGATAAGTATATACACTTTGGAAGTCATCAACTAACATTACAAAGCAATATGTAATTAGGCACCAACATGATGAACAAAAGAAACAGGAAATGTGATGAGTTTGCTCATTGGCTTGGAATGAGTGTCTAGGAATGGTTGTAAAGGCTTTCTGGAGCTGGAACTTTGACAATCCACAGACACCTTGAAGTTGTATACACCTTGAATTGAATACCACCTAGTCTAACCTGCTAATTTTACAAGCATGTAAACCCAGGTGGAATTAATCTTAAGGCAGAGCCTGGACAAGAACACAAGTCTTCTATTCTCTAAATCTTTGCCCAGATATTCTTTTTCTTTCAAGTCTGGTCCTCCCACAGTCTGAAAATACCTATCTAGTAAATTCATAGTAGTAAAGAAGAGAAGGCCTGAGAGGTTCCAAGTTATGGATTATATGGTGGCTTCTTTGGTCCTTGAAGAAAGGGGTTCTTAAAAGACTGAGAATAGCATGGTTGTAGCTGTTATTTGGGATGAGAAGGAAAGAAAAGAGAAACTAGTGTGGAGTGGGAAGGGAAGGAGGTAAATATGGATTATAGAAAGCTGCATGGGTACACTGACGCGTGGACAGGGAAGCAATGTATATGTCCTCGTAAGAAGAATCCCTGAATTCTTTACCGTGTGCATGTTCAAAGGCATATCCCTGCTGTCAGAGTACTTGACTGCTATAAAGAAGGAAGTAGCCTATGTGCTCTGATGTGGAAAGATTTCAGTGATGCAGTATTAGAAGATGAACAAGTCATAGAATAGTGGGTATCACCTTTCCCCTTTATATATGTAAACCAAACCCAAACCCAAGGTAGCCGAATTGGCCAAGTGAAAGCATGTATGTGTGGTGTATGTGTAAATGTTCAGAAAATGGTCTGGAAAGATGCATACCATAATAAAGAGAGTGTTTCTCTGGGGGTAGGTGGCTTTGAGCAGAGACTTAAACATTTCACTCTATTTCATAATTAGTAGAATGGTTACAAGGAATAGTTAGGGAACGTGGGTTTGACATGTACACACTGCATATTTAAAATAGATAACCATTAAGGACCTACTGTACAGAGAACTCTGCTCAATGTTATGTAACAACCTAAATGGGAAAATAATTTGAAAAAGAATAGATAACATATATATGTGTCACTGAATCACTTTGCTATACACCTGGAACTAACACAACATTGTTAATCAACTATGTGCCAATATAAAAGAAAAAGTTAAAAAAGATGTATATTTTTGTTATAAATAATGATTTTAAAAGAGCAATATTAAAATAATAAGGGAACTTTCCTGGTGGTCCAGTGGTTAAGCTTCATGCTACCAGTTCAAGGTTAGGATTCTCCCTGGTTGGGGAACTAAGATCCCACGGGCCACACGGCACAGCCAAAAGAAAAAAAACAATAGAAAGTGCCAGGCTGGGTGAGAGTTGGAGGGAAGGATCTGACAGCTGAACTGGGTTGTCTCCAAAGTGGTTCTGGGAATCACAGGTGATTAGAGCCCAAGGGGGCCCGTCTTGTTTCAGGAAGTCCAAAACTTAGTTGGGGATCAGAATCATTGGGGAAGCTTAAAATCCAAATCAGATCAAAACAGATTCCTGGCTCCATTGCAGATCCACCTGATCTCAGGTGCTGGGCTGGGGATGTGGATTTTTAAAAAGCTTCTCAAAGTAATGTTGTTGTTGCAGTTGAGGCTTTGTTTGAAGCTCTGATTTAATTCCCCTGTATCAAGGAGAGACGGAAGAATCTCGATCATAGAGAACCAGCCTCAGGTTTTCTGGCTCCTGTTCTCAGCTTTTTTCATTGACTGTGTCTCTTGATTTAGATGTTTTCTGTAACATCAGCTTTCAGGCATCATCTCAGTTTGTTTTTACATTTTATAGGGAACTTTCTTAAATGTTTTTTTGAACTTTAACTGCCCTCCTTCCCATGCTTTCTTCTTAGGCTCTTAGGTGGCTGCAGGCTCCATTGATCATGGCCTCAACAAACAGGAGTTGCATCTAAAAAGCATTAATTCTGTTGTTTAAAGCGCATTCAGGATACCAAGGGCCTGCCTCTGATTTACAAAATAAAAACAAAAAACCATTTAGCTTTGTAAAGACAAAACCTTTGGGGAAAAAAATCACACTTTGTCTATTGGTTAACGCCAGTTGGGTCACCTGTTGCTATGGAAGTAGCAGCTTGAATATTTGTCATCCTGCCATCTCAGCTGATTTGTCCAGGTATCAAGAAATGGCCACTCAGTATTTGGGTTGTAGCAGGAAGACACTATTCGGCAAGTTACTTTCCTCTTGCATTAAGATTTTGTCTGCTGTGTAGCCTTTTTAATATGAGTCCTGAAGTGCTTTCACATTCATATTCTCCATTGATTTTATAATCAGTTTGCAGCTTCATTTTACAGATGGAAAAAAAGAAAGCTGAGGCAAAGGTCAGGCAACAAAACCAAAACTTCCCAGCCAGGAGATCAGGCCCCCTATGGAACTGTAGTCTGTTTTTCTCTCTCTCTCTTATGATATAGCTGCTAAAAGGGTACAGTGCCGGGGATTTCCCTGGTGGTTCAGTGGTTAAGAATCCGCCTTCCAATGCAGGAGACTTGGGTTCAATCCCTGGTTGAGAACTAAGATCCCACATGCCACCGAGCAACTAAGCCCCTATGTGCCACAACTAGAAACCTGAGAGCTGCAACTGAGACCCGATGCACCCCAAATAAATGAATGAATATTTTTTAAAAAAATGGCACAGAACTGGTCAGACTTTTAATGGGAATGATGATAGTCGGGTAGGGATTGTCCCATCCTTTCTCCTCCTCTTCCTGTGTAACATCGTCTTAGCTTTTGTCCCTCTTTTCCCCCCTTATTTTTTTTTTCAGCTTGGATTCCTCAGTACCACCAGGGCTCAACCAGAGCAGAAGGCACCAAGTCTCATTGGCAAATACCACCACGTCGACCGCATCACCGGCCAGGTGCTCACCTGTGACAAGTGTCCTGCAGGAACCTACGTGTCCGAGCACTGTACCAACATAAGCCTGCGTGTCTGCAGCAGCTGCCCCACGGGGACCTTTACCCGACATGAGAATGGCATCGAGAAATGCCACGAGTGTAGTCAGCCGTGCCCCTGGCCGATGATCGAGAAATTGCCTTGTACTGCCTTGACTGACCGTGAATGCTCTTGCCCACCTGGCATGTTCCAGTCGAATGGGAGCTGCGCCCCCCACACGGTGTGCCCCGTGGGCTGGGGGGTGCGGAAGAAGGGGACAGAGATGGAGGACGTGCGGTGCAAGCAGTGTGCTCGGGGGACCTTCTCCGATGTGCCTTCCAGTGTGATGAGATGCAGAGTGTACACAGACTGTCTGAGTCAGAGCATGGTGGTGATCAAGCCGGGGACCAAGGAGGCAGACAATGTCTGCGGCCCGCTCCCGTCCTCCTCCAGCCCCGCCCCGCCCTCCCCTGGCACAACCAGCCTTTCCCGCCCTGAGCACACGGAACCCCACGGTGTCCCTTCCTCCACTCTCATTCCCAAAGGTAACTTAACCTTGCGAATTGTGTATGTGAGGAAGGCTTCGAGCCCTGTGGAGCGGTACCAAAAATGGGCTGGGACCCATGGTGCTTTCTCCATCTTGTCTATTCCCGAGTCACCCCTTGAAGATGGGGGCGTGCCTTTTGTGGCTACTTAAAGTCTAGCTCCCGTGGACCTATTGGAAACATTGAGACTCAGAAGTCTGAGCTATTAGGGAGTAGTAAAATATCTGAGAACTAGGTGACATCAAGCTAGAAAATTAGAACCAGGAGAAACAAGGTCAGTGTGTAGCCTTAGGGAAATCACTGAACTTCTGCAGGCCCCGGTCACAAACTTATCAATCATATGACACCATAAATGAGTGATTTGGTTGTTTTAAGGTCCCTTCGGATTGAAGGTTTTCTAACACCCAGTCAGTCCTGGGGAGCCACAGACTGAAGGTCAGAAGGAGAAGGGGAGAAAAATACCACGACATCTGGAAGGGAAAAATGAATGTTGGATCTGAGGGAATCCGAGAAAAGGAAGGTCAGGTAGGAGTGTCAGGGAACAAGCACATTTGTGTCACATTGAGGTAACTAGCATTCACATCTGGAAAAGAGTTTCCTTTTTTTCCCAAAGGACTTTATGTCCTTCATCAAGTATATCCCAGTTTTCCTCAGAATTCATTTTGAATCTCAGGCCAGAATAACATTTAGCTTTTATTTTCAAATTCCTTTTGATTGAGTTTAATTTTCATGCGATGATGGCCGAAAGCTGTCCAGCGAGCTCTCACGTGTGGTTATTATTTGAGCTTCTGATGAGACCCCATAAGGAAGGCCTTCTCACAACCGCTGCTGGAAATGAAGCAGCCTCCTCAGAGAGCTCCTGTGATCTCTCCAGGTTTCCTCAGGGGTCAGGTCCTGTCTCTCGGGACTTGAAATCCCTAGCTTTCACTCCTTAATGGAAAATTGCTTGTGGAATCTTCTTTGAAAGCAGTCCACTAAGCTGCCTGCCCAAATCTTGCTTCTCTGTTACTAGCACATTCTAAGGAAGTCCTGCTTTATTTTCTTCACCGAGTATCCCATCAAACCTTTCTCTGGTCCAACTTAGATTGGAGCTTGAACTCTTTCCTTTATCTTAGTCATGTTTTCCGTTTTACCATGGCATCATGAAATAGCCAGTTGGTGGGAGAGGAAGAATAAAGAAATTAAAAGACAGCGGCATTCAGTTGGAAGTAGTTTTCTAATAATCAAAACAATTTAGAGTTGACATAGTACGTGCAGCACAGGCGACACTTGTGTGAAGCTCAGGCGCTTGGTCCCTGAGGATTCCCTTGCTGTTGGCAGGAGAAAATGAGTTTATCTGTTAGGCTGAGTTTTAACCTCTCACATAAAGGCATTGTCAAGGTCTTTGTGAAAATGTACAATATCATTTATTCTAAAGCTCCATAGGTCATCTCTTCTTGGATTATCTGAGCTGGTTTGGAGATGACTAGGAAGAGAAGGGAATGTGTAGATACCCCACATATAGAAAAGCTCTTCCCCCCTCCTTACTCTTTTTTTTCTAGGCATCAACTCAACAGAATGCAACTCTTCTGCCTCTGTTAGACCAAAGGTGCCAAGTGGCATCCAGGAAGGGACAGTCCCTGACAACACAAGCTCAGCGAGCGGGGAGGAGGGCATGAACAAGACCCTCCCCAGCGTTCAGGTAGTGAACCACCAGCAAGGCCCCCACCACAGGCACATCCTGAAGCTGCTGCCGTCCATGGAGGCCACTGGGGGTGAGAAGTCAAGCACTCCCATCAAAGGCCCCAAGAGGGGCCACCCCAGGCAGAACCCACACAAGCATTTCGACATCAACGAGCATCTTCCGTGGATGATTGTGCTTTTCCTGTTGCTGGTGCTGGTGGTGATAGTGGTATGCAGTATCCGGAGAAGCTCGAGGACGCTCAAGAAGGGGCCCCGGCAGGATCCCAGTGCTATTGTGGAAAAGGCGGGGCTCAAGAAATCCATGGCCCCCACCCAGAACCGGGAGAAGTGGATCTACTACTGCAACGGCCACGGTGAGCCTGCCAAACTAGTTCCGAAGAGAGATTCCACAGTTTTGGGAATCTCTTTTGATACCAAGTGCTGTTTGATCTGGTTGTGATAGGAGAAATCAGCTGGTTAGCATGCGATGTCGTAATGTTCGGAGAGAATGGCTCATCTATCCCGGTTCCCCTGGGCATTTAAAGGACAGTATTTCCCCAAATGAGACGCGACAGTGACCTTTAGGGTTTTTGTTCGACTTTGTCGTTTAACAGGTGAGGGGATCAAGTTCAGAGAGGTTTGGCTGCCTTGACCCAGGGGAGTCAGACTTTGTTTCAGTGAAGGTGGGACTGAATCTGTACCTCCTGATGAGCCTGCTGAGAAAATAGAGGGAGGAAAAAGGCAACTTGTCTGAAGGGCGCTTTTTCGAATTTGAACCTTGCCTTTAGGTTCCTATCACTTTACCCACATGTATTTTCCCCCCCTTATATTTTTTAAGATCTCATTTCTGTCGGGAAGATAGGAAGGTTTTTTGGGTTTTAGCCACCCAAAGCTGAGTATATCTTGATCACCTGAGGCTGGCCCCATATCTTTTACCATATCTTTTACAGTGTGTATGAGTATGGGCTGGAATATTTCAGTTTTTTCTCTTTGGAGGGCAAAACGTAGCTTGTGAAACTTGTCCTAGTAGCTAAGTGTGATCTGAAGACTGCAGTTTTCAGACTGTGGCAGTAAAACTTCCATTTCTTTAATATTAAATAAGATTTCAGCCCACGTTTTGACAATCCCATTCAGGATCTTTCTCCTTAAAGATAAAAGTGTAAAGCTTAACTTCCTGTAAAGTGGTTTGACCTTTTGTATTGAGTCTTAAAATTGCTTATACTCTTTGGCCCAGCAGTTCTATTTCTGTGCATTTGTCATAAAGATATAAACCAGAAATACTAAAACAAAACAATTTAAGCCCAAGGATCTTGAACTTTTAATTCAACATCATGTATAATAAATAAAAACCAAAAGTAATCAAAGGGTTGGTTTTAGGGAAATGACTGAGTAAATTGTGGCATATCCATATTATGACTATGAATGTTATGTTGAGGTTGAGGATTATGAAGTTTTTATTTTGTTTTTTACCCATGACATGGGAAAATGTTTATACTAGATTAAAGAATAGAAAAAGCCACCATACTACACACTTTATATAATATAATCTTAGCTATCTTAAAACTTGGGAATAAATTCAGAAAGGAAATATGCCAAAGTGACAATGAAGTTTCTTTCAGTTTGGTGGTGTTTATGTGGGTTTTTCCCTTATTAGTTTTGTTTTTTACCCAAATTTTCTCTAATAAGTCCATGCTACACTTATAATCAGAAATGTGGGGGAGGTTTAAGAAAACAACTCATTTTATTTCCCTTTGCTAATTTGTGTGAATGTCAAACCAAGTGAAAGAATGGGATGAACTTCCTACTTGGGGTGAGCCTGCACAGACTTGAATGAAACAGCCTTTTGCTGGCAGCTGAAGAAGGAAGACTCCAATTCTCCCTTTTTTAAAAAAAATTATTTTTATATGGATATAATTGCAAAAACACGAAAAAATTGCAAAATCAGTACAAAAAATATCTATATTCGTGTCCCCAGTTGACCTATTGCTAACATTTTGCCCTTCTGCATTATTGCTTGCTCTTTTTCTATAAAAATATATATGTTTTATATTATAAAATGTGCCAGGTAATTTAGTTATGTATACAATGTCATGTAACATAATATATAATATATAGGTAATTTCCCTGATGGCTCAGATGGTAAAGAATCTGCCTGCAATGTGGGAGACCTGGGTTCAATCCCTGGGTCGGGAAGATCCCCTGGAGAAGGGCATGGCTACCCAGTATTCTTGCCTGGAGAATTCTATGGACAGAGAAACGTGGAGGACTAGACATAAAATAGTTTTTCTGAACCATTTCATGACCATTTATGGCAGATACTTCAGTATTTATTTCCTAACAATAAGGATATATTCTTAAAGAGTAGCACAGTTTTCAACTTCAACAAGTTTAACATGGATGCAATATTTTAATTTACCATGCATATTCCCCAGTTGTCAACTGACCCAGTAAAAGGCCCGTGATAGACAGTATACTTTTTCCTGTGATATTGGATCTTGCCTAAGATCTGATATTTCATTAAATTGTCCTTTAAGCGGCCAGGCAGAACCTTTGTTCTAATATATATAGTTAGCAGAAAACAACGTACCCATCCTGTTCAATTAAAGAAGCGATTCCATTCTTTCAGTAGCTGTGTTTATGGGTTAGATTATGGACAGCTGTATTTCTAAAAGTCTCTTGCGGTGTAGTTTTCAGAATTCTTGAGAATACAGGAAATTATAGGAGTAAATCTAGTCCAGCAACACAAAGCAATTTAATACAATGATCTTAGGCGTTTTTATGACCACTGTAACCTTGTAAACTACTATGTCTGTGTCCTTGAAACAATCCTATTTTGTAGAAAGAATGGAAGTGCCAAATCAAACAATACCTGACCCTACCTTCTGAGGAAGCAGAGCTTCAGCAATCTGCTTTTCCAGCTAAATCACAATCATCTCATTCAGATGTTATTATCTCTTTCAGCAGTTTACCTTTTTCCCTGGGATTTTGCCCTGGGAGGTTTATATTTAAGATTATTTTTTTTAAAGGAAGATCTCTTCTTTCCAAATTGCTGTCCTCAAAGGTACACTCAGGTAAAATCCCATAACAAAGAGAGCTTCTGTTTCAGAAAAACCATTCCAGGTGCTCAGAGAGGCCTCTGTTAACAATGCCTTGTTGATCTGATTGCAGTGAGTTCTGGGCAGCAGATAATCCTGCATAGTAAGATCATTTTCTGGTCCTTATCCATTTCACACTGAATTGTTCAGAAGGATAAGGGTGAGGATGAAATCGCCTAGTCCTGGGTGTTCTGTATAAGAGGTCATGTAAGACCTCACTTACCCTTGCTCACCTTAAGCAGGTGGTACCATGTTCCTGAATGCCCTGTAGACCCCAGCACTCTGCAGCCAGGCTAGTGGTTCCCACCCTTCTCATCAACAAGAGCCTCTTTTTTGGGGGGTTCCACTCACCATTTATGGATTTGTGGTTTTAAAGTTGAATTCCACAAAACTACCCTACTTTCATGGAATCCTAGTGCTGGAAACTCAAGATGAGGTTTTATGTGGCCAGGAGGAAGGGAGACTGAGGATGCTGTGGCATTTTGTGAGTTTTATATATTTCTTTCACTTCTAAAGTCATGGCAATTTTCTGTTTGGCCAGTTGGCACTGTACTCCTTTGGGCTTGGTCCAGTGTGGGAGAATTGGTCTTTGTTCAAATTTTTATTCATTTATTTAATTTTGTTTGTGCAGGATCTTCCTTCGTTTCTGTGCGAGGGCTTTCTCTAGTTGGGGCGAGCAGGGGTACTCTAGCTCTGATGCACAGGCTTCTTGTTGCAGTGGCTTCTCCTGGTGAGGAGCACAGGCTCTATGGTACTCGGGCCTCAGGAGTTGCGGCTCTCAGACTCTCGAGCACAGGCTCCGTAGCTGTGGAGCAGGGCGTAGTTCCCCTGTGGCATGTGAGATCTTCCCAGACCAGGCGTCCAACTCGGGATCGAATTGGTCTTTGTTGGGCTTATGAAGGAAGACCATTTCCCGGTTTCACAACTCTGCAGGCGTCATCCTCTTTCTAGGGGAAGTAGTAAGAAACAATCACATTGTAGGAATGGAATTGTGATGGTGTTTCTCTTATAAATACTTCCCTGAAGTTGCAGAGGTTGGTTGGGGACAGACGCTGAGTAACTGGAAGCTGTGCCCTGGATGTATCTGAACAACATTAATATACTCTTCAATCAGATTTCAGGAATGACATAACATTTCATCTGAATTATTAAAACCACCATAAGCAATGTTCAGAAATGAAGAACAAATGAAGTGCATTAGGAATTCAATAATAAGTACTTTTCCACTTTATATGTTTCTCTGAAGTGAGACTAAGGGGTATTTGCTACCCACACAGGCAAGATCTTGAGGTGATTTGGGGGTGCAAATCACCCAAATAAACTGTGACTTTCTAATATAATTTTCTAACCTTATAAGAAAGGTTTCTACCACCATAAGTTTTTATTGTCTACTTTTCTTTAACAAAGACTGGTACCATCCTTGGGCTTTTCTGGTGGCTCAGTCAGTAAAGCATCTGCCTGTCAAATGCCGGAGATGCAAGAGACTCTGGTTCGATCCCTGGGTCGGGAAGATGCCCTGGAAAAAGAAATGGCAACCACTCCAGTATTCTTGCCTGGGAAATCCCATGGACAGAGGAGTCTGGTAGGCTGTCATCCTTACTGAATGCCATATCCTGTTCTAAACATTTTTATAAATTTAATTTAATTTTCTTAACCCTATGAGGTGAGCTACTACCATCACCATTTTACAGGTGGGAAAACCAAGGTGCAGAGTCACTTGCCCAAGGTCACACAGCTATAAAGAAGTAGTGCCAGGTTTTAAACTCAGCCACCTATCTGACTCTGGACACCGCTCTCTGCTTCTCAGAGTCTGGATTTATGAAAAATCTGGATTTTAATTTTTCCAGTGTAAGAAATTTCTAGGTTTCTGTGGTTGACTTTTTTTTTCTTACCATGCCCAATCAAGAAAAATTTACTTCCTTTAGCAAAACCCAACTTGTTCTGAAATAAAACAACTATAAAATTGTCATCAGTAATGAGTTCGCCTCCACAGAAGCCACTCCGATTACCTCCTTTTCCCTTTTCCTTGGATTGCTTGCAATGGAAGCATTCTCAAGCCAGCTACCCAATGGCTGCAGGCTCTGAGGGCCGTTTGGAAAACAGAAAAACAGTTTCAAAGAAGTCCGAGGTGACGGAGCTGTGCTCATAGGAACTCACATCTGTTGAACTTGGTCGTAATTTTCTCAGCCCTGGATGGCAGCAGCAGCAGCAGCTGCAACCAAGAAACCTTCCTTCCTTTGCCAGAAGCCTCCTGGCCTCCAGATTCCAGACAGTCATCT